AAATTGTTAAAAAAAAAATTAATATATTTTTATAAAAATATAAATTTATATATGAGTTTGTTTAACATATATTTTAAGAACGCAAATTAATTTACATAAAAATAAAAAATTTAACATTAATTTTAATATTTATGATATATGGATATTTTTTATTAAATAATAGATGAAATTAATATCAACTTTTAATTTTATTATTGTTTTCCCAAAAATCCTCTAATGGCCTCGCACGTGTGAAATTTGGATGCGGGCGTACTACTTACTTTGGTGAAAGTAAGAAAGGAGGATTTTCCCAACGACCCTCTCCTTTCTCACAGTCAACCTCCTTGTGGATGGCAGAAAGAACGTTGGATTAAAATTGAAATCTGCGCCTATAGACGATTTGCAAAAAGGAGGGATACCTTCCTGCAGAATGGGTTACGAAATCTACCTTGGACAACTCTAAGGACTTAAACACTACCGTGACTTAAAATTAACAAATCCTAATTGAACTAAATAGCTTTTAATTTAAATAAATTTGTGAGAATAAAATGTACCCAAATTAAATTAAACATGTTCATTGTTAAATTAAAATATTATCTACTGACATATCTGAAAATTAAACTGCCGCAGAATTAAAGATTTTACCCTAATTAACATTAAAATTAACGTGAACAGTGATTAAACTAACATACTTGAAGTTGAAAAGAAGCGTGAACGCCATATAAGTAATTATTGAAAAAATGCTACTTATCATAAACATCAAATTAACTACACACAGAAAAGGAACAATACCTTGAATAAACTTGAAAGATTGAAGTTCATTACATGAAAGGAAATTGTTGAACTGAATATATGAATTAATTTGTCTACTAGAATGATGAAAAACAACCTAGATCTACTGGAATTTGTGCTGAAATCCGAAATCTGGAAGCAATTGTAGAGAAAATAAAGTCTGAAAATTTGTAGATATTTGAGTAGGGCAGACCATGTGTTCTCCCTTCCAAAATTTCCTTTTTGTTCTCCTTTGACCAGTAATAACCCCCTACTTTCTGCAGTTACAAAGTTGTGGGTAGTTTCTTGAGGCAGTGGGACAGCTCACCTATTAACTTGATCTGATCTCTTTTCAGATTTTTGTCACATGTGCCCTTATCAGATAAAACCCCTCTTTAACTGCCATCCTCTCCTATATTTTAACTTAAACAGTCTCTTCTTGCCTCAAAGAGATAATTACACAGTAAAATCTCATCTTTATCTCTCTTTTTTTTGCCAAAATGATAGCTGATTTGTCATGAGATCCAGAATCACGAATTTGACATGACTTAATCTTCTGTATTCATTTAAAAAATTTTGACATGTGGTATGATTTTAAATTTTTGCAATTTATGGTGTAAACAATTATATATATTAATAATAACAATATATAATAAATATACTATTATCCTATATTTTAAAAACACAATATAAAAAAAACCCTTATATATTTTGCTATTTTCATATAAATCCTTACAGGTCACAATAGGATAGGAAAATCCCTCCCAAAATTTTCCAGAAAAAAATTCGCATCTTTCCCAACCATGCGAGGAGTATTATGGAAATTTCCGTCCCGGCCCTTACGGATTTCTCACTGGACCTATGGGAAATTGCCATCCGTACAAAGACCTGGTGAAAGGCGAACATGCTCTTGTCGGAACACAGCACAATGTGTTGTCACAAAAGTTAAATTCACCACAATGCATGGACAATACCGGCAATCTAAAATTTTATAATGCACAGTAAATCACGTTCTTTGAACTTCTTCCCTTTGCCATTAGCTGAATTTAATGATTAATTTATTAACTATCTATTTAATTTTATTTTAATTTAAAAAGTCAGTTTTTTAAAAACAGTTTATAAATGTTACAAAATATTTTGAAATAGTTTATTATACAAAATTTTTATTAATTT